TCAAAGTGCCAGGCTCCAGGGGCTGTGTGAAAGCCCCTTGACCTTGGGCTTCAGCTCTGCCTCTTGCTCCTGGTCTGCTGAAGCCAGAGGCACGTCTTCACTCAGGCAGCTACTGGCTGCTGAGGTTAACAAGCCCAAGGTGGACAAATAAAATGGCACAGTCCCAATGTTGCCAAGCCACATGGCAGGCCATTAAGTCAAGTCCATTGTAAGTCCCAAGGTCGGCAGAACATGGCAGGCTGCTGAACAACGACAGGGCTACATTCAGGGGCCAAGCCTGCCATAAGCTCAAGACCATACCCAAGGCTGCTTCTTATATACAGGAAGCAGACCACATCCCAAAGCACTCAGCTGCTTAGGGTAGATCCCACTATGGAGGTGATTGCCAGTCTCATCATGGGGGATAACTACCACCAGCTGCCCAGCCACTCAACCAGGCCCAGCTAAGTTTACATACAAATTTAGCTACCATAAGATGCTTGATAAATATTTGTCTACCCTTGAAATTTATGATCTTTTAGTTCTGTTGGCATATTTCAAAAGAGTGCACTTTAAACTTACGTTGCCTTTCACATAGGAATCTGCTGTCAGCATACCATCTCTACTTTCTGTTTCTCCTTGATGACTTGGCAGAGGACTTTCCAGATTACTCTCTTGACCTTTGTCAAGCAAGTTGCTGAGAGTTGAGAAATATTCTGTCTGTGGAAACTTTTTCCCTCTTTAAAAACTAACATAACAAACGAGAATTGAAACTATGACTTTTTTTTGTGTGTGAGAACAGACCAACAAAAATCAGAATTTAAAAAATCCATCTCAGATAAACATTACTAGAATGTGCTATTTTTCAGTAAGTGAAAGTAGCCTTATAATATGCAGCTTGACATTAATGAATGCTGCCTTATGCATACATTTATACATATAGCATACATTAGGTAAAGGCATTTGTCAAAATTAATAGTGCTTTACACAGGGAAGTCAGGCAGTAAATATTTTATGTGTGTATATATACACACATACATATATACACACACACATACATATACTTACATACACATACATACATTCATACATGTATGCATACATACATTTATATGTGTGTATATATACATACAAGAGCTCTGGTGGCATAGTGCCTAAGGCAAATTGACTGCTAACTAGTAGTCTGGCGGTTCAAACACACCAGCCACTCGTTGGAAGGAAGGTTGAGCAATCTACTTCTGTAGTGATACTGCCTTGGAAACCCAAGGAGGGGTAGTATGAGTCGGATCTGACCTGATGGCAGTGAATTTGGTTTGGTTTATATATACATACATAAAAATATTTACTCACTGACTGACTTGTGTAAAGCACTATTAATTTTGACAAATGCCTTCACCTAAGGTATGCTATATGTATAAACATATGCATAAGGCAGTATAAATACATAGAAGGAAGGTTGGGCAATCCTACTTCCGTAGTGATACTGCCTCGGAAACCCAAGGAGGGGTCGCTATGAGTCGGGGCCGACTCGACGGCACATAACAACAACAACAACAACAACATGTATATACACACACACACACACACACACATATGTTGATCTATATGTGTGTGTGAGCTCTGGTGGCATGGTGCCTGTGTGCCTGTTCTGTTTACCTAGGGCCACTCTGACAAAATATACCACAAATGGGATGGATTGAACAAACAGGAGTTTATTCTCTTATGCTTTGGAGGTTTTAAGTCTGAGTTCAAAGTGCTAGGTTCTAGGGGCTGGGTGAAAGCCCCTCAACCTTAAGCTTCAACTCTGCCTCCTGCTCTTGGCCCACTGGAGATAGAGACATTTCTTTGCTCAGACAATTGCTGGCTGCTGAGACTGACAAGCCCAAGGTTGACAAGTAAAAAGGCATAGTCCTGATGTTACCAAACCACACAACAGGCCATTCATTCAAGTCTATTGAAAGTCCCAAGGTCAGCAGAGCATGGCAGGCTGCTGAACAACAACACAGCTACATGCAGGGTTCAAGCGTGCCATAGGCTAGAGACAATTCCCAAAGCTGCTTCTTACATACAAGAAGCAGACCACATACCCAAAGCAGCTACTCAGCTGCTCAAATAGATTCCACCATGGAGTTAATTACCAATCTCACCATGGGGAATAACTACATTCAGCTGCCTAGCCATTCAACCAGGCTCCGCCAAGTTGACACACAAACTTAACCACCACAATGCCTAAGGTATTTGATGGATAACCAGAAGCTGGGATTTCAAACCCTCCAGCCACTCCTCCGAAGGAAGGAATCTACTTCCATAAGATTTATTGCCTCAGAAACCCAAGGGTCACTGTGAGTTGGAATCGACTCCATGGCAGTGAGTTTGTTTTATC